TTGTAACTCTACTGTTAATCTATAGTTTATATTACGTGTACTATTTTTAGTACTGAGATTTTTAGTACTGAGCAGCTTATATGCAGAAGTTATATGAATGTATATACATTCATTTTTTTTGCATACATTTTAAAATGGTTTACTTTTTTGTTAATTTTATAACCAAATACTGTTTTTTAAACAAAACTGATATTTTAAGGCTATTTTTATGGAAGGCCACATTATCACTCATTTTTTTCTTTGAGTCATTATGCAATGTCGTTTTTATTAATAGTATCCTAAGTAATAAATATTTCGTAACTTTGAGTCCAGAATCGATTCAACAACATTTTAACGAATGTAATTGTCAAGCTTTAAACTTAAGTATTGATTATTAACAAAGTTATTGTGTAAAATGTAACTGGGATGCCATAATACCACCTTCGAAAGTAATTAATGTTACTGTAGAAGTGTTTCAAGCTTCCATACTTTATCAATGTCATCGTAATCTAACATTATAGATACCTATAACGTATTTCTAATTTTTTTTATGTTATCCGATATAGTCTTATATACATTTTTTTCTGAATTTTTATATATTTCTTTATGTATTACATAAAGTTCTAAATAGAATTATTTGTTGAATTTTGTTATAAGTAACTTATTAATTTCTCATTTTCTAAACATGATTCTTATCAATTTATAGATTTGAAGAATTTTTTTAGTACTAAATCATTTATTAATATTTATTATATTATTCATGATAGTTTAACTTACTGTCAAAGTGAGAGCTCGCATGTTGACAAAGAATGGTACGGTATTGAGTAAATTTCCGACGAGGGAAATATTCCTCAAGTTTCTCAGCCGTGTCACTTCATCCGGTAGGTCCTTGATGCCATTGCGGTCAAGGATTAGTTCCTTCAAACTGCAACGTGATGATAAAGATGTTTTATTTAATAAACAAAGATTGCATCGCGAATAAATTAACTAGCTTTAAAAATATTGATAGTATGTATTAACACAATTCTTAATTAACATTTAAGAAACGAAGAATTCAAATTGTCTTTGAATTAATATGTGTTTTATTTGTCGTTATTCGATAGAATCATCTACAATGGGAGTAATATTGTAAATATAGTAAGCAGAAAGTTGAAAAAAATTGACAAATCATAATCGATTATTCTCCTTACATTTGATTGTGTTTGGTCAATTTCTTATGGCTTAGAACTTACTACTTCTATTGTGGGGGCAACCCTTATTATACTTTTTTCGTATTTAAATAAATTTGTTTCTTTGTTTTTTTCGTATAATTAAAGCATTTTCATTTTTGATACACTGTATAAAATATATTATAATATTTTGATACTAGATATATAAACCTATTTAGTATAAAAATATATATAAATTATTGAAAATAAGATAAAAATATAAAGATATAAAGATTTTATTATACTGAATATAATGTAAAATTAGAGAATTTTGTTCATTATTTACAGGATAGAAGTTTGTAACATTATTTTAAATTTTCGCTACTTTTTCTTAAAATATTAATTAATATAGAGGAAGAATTTGTATCTGGAAGAGTTTATTCGTAAATTATAGTTTTTGCGGACGTAGTAGTAGTGCAATTTTTAGCTACTGTGAATTGTATCTCGAAGCTTCGGACACGCGAGTCGGTGAACCTAAACGAGCGCGAGCCGCCCACAGGATGTGCACTTGAGTAGAAAGTTTCGAATTATAGTGAAAACCTTCGTTGCAGTAAACATCTGTGTCATCAGGCAGACTTTCGATTTTTGCTATTAAAGTAGTAGCGATTTTTATCAATAAACGCTTTTAATTTGACAAAAGCTTGAAATTCTTATTTTGATGTTACTAGTTACGTATAATGTGCGTTAAAATTTTTTCCACATATCTTTTTTGTTTAATCATTAAGTTAGCTTATGATTGATCCTTTAAGAAACGTCTTGAAAGAAAATCCTTGAAGATATTAAGATAATTTTTACGTTGTTTTATATAAATTATTAAAAATTCAGGAACTTTATTTTTAATTAAAAAAAATTTTAGAACAACATTTTCGAACATTATATCTTTAGTAATACAAGAAAGAGAAAACAAAACAGGACTAACGAACTGACAAATATTTCGAAAAAACTAACACAAATATTCACGACTATAAAACACTTTCTATAAATACGTTGTCAATAAATAATATCAGAAATAATTGCACACACAGAGAAAATAATTATAGATTGTTAAAAAAATATGATGCAAACAAATTAAAAAATTATAACAGTTGATTGTAACAGATCGTAAATAAATATATTATATATTACTATCGTCGTTAAAAGAGTTTACTATACGAAGCTGTTGCCATCTTATTTTAGAACGTGCATTCATTGTTTCTTATCTGATTTGGTACTTTTTGTTTTTTGATGTTGCTACGCACACGTTCGTTTAAAAACGGAGCAGTGTTCAAGTACCGAAGTACTTTCTTCAGTACGCTCGGTAGATACGATTGTTATCATCAACAAGCAATGTTGTTAGAGGAACACTTTATGCGTACACTGAAAGAAAAGATTGGCTACTGCAGCAAAATAGATAGTAAAATATGGCATAGCATTTTTAATTGATTGCAGCAGCCAATTTTTGGTTGTGTTAGCCTATCGAAATCCTATACTGACATTGCGGATAGACTAACGCAACCAAAAGTTAGCTGCAGCAACCAAAAATTGGCTGTTGCAGCCAATTAAAAATGCTATGCCATATTTTACCATCTAATTTGCTGCAGCAGCCAATCTTTTTTTCAGTGTAGATTTCATTTTTATGAATTCTTTTATTGTTGTTTTAATTATGTATTGTATGTACATGCATGAAGAAATATTTAAATATTAAAATCATAAGTATCTGGCATGATTCATTTTATTATATTAATTACTGTATGCTTTATGTTGTACACGAAAAAAAAGATTGACTGCTGCAGTAAATTAGATGGTTAAATATGGCATAGCATCCGCAATGTCAGTATAGGATTTCGATAGGCTAACACAACCAAAAATTGGCTGCTGCAATCAATTAAAAATGCTATGCCATATTTAACCATCTAATTTGCTGCAGCAGTCAATCTTTTTTTTCAGTGTAGGGTTTGTATCGAATAAAAACGTTGTTATATAAAACCATAACGCTATACTCTATAAATGTTAAAAATCCCTTGTATCGACGATTTTTTTCCCAATATTGCATTCTTTCCGAATGCTACGAAGTGCTGAAATAGCTGGCTCATCGTAAACAACAATACACCCTACCTGTGAGCAACATTCTCACTTTACGAGACCAATTTTGCGAATTGCAAATCGTACACCACACATGAAGAACTTTCACCATTGGACGCGTAAATGTATATTGCGTAGAGATATTTAAATTTTCGCGGATTAAAAAAGTTTTTACGACACAATAATAATCCGATTTTTGAACGTTGATCCCATGATCATGTGCAAACTTTAAGAATAGAGACAATCGCGATTGTCCCAATCATAGATCAAAAAGTTTCACCGTATCTCTTCGACCACAGAATTTTCGGTGGCGACTCGGAAGCGATCTCCACGGCTTTTCGTGGCGCGATTTTCCGGAGATACACACTCGCGGCGGCTCTTTCGAGGACTAAAGAGGTCGGTTGAAAGGCGAACTTATTCCTCTTGAGGATACCGTCTTGTGGCGAAGGAAGAAGAGGGAGGCAAAACCGAGGATGGGTTGGCTGACCACTCTGATGTAACAGAACAGAAATTGTCTGCCGGCGTACGAAGCGGGACCGAGCGATAATGCGCCGTGGCTTAGACCGGACATGCACCAGCGATGGCCGGCAAGCCGGTGAAATCCTTGTTACATATGATACCTTGATTCCACGTGAATAACGTCGCCAAATTATGCTGTTTGAAGCATAATACACGATACATACCACACACATGCATCTCCGTCAAAATCTATCCGAATATTATTTACGCTGTGACACGGTATAGGTAATTTCAGGAATATTTAGTACATTTAATTATACAGAACTATTTTGGACATTCAAATTGTTCGAAAGCCGAGATAATATCGTTATTACGATATGAATAATGATTTTAATACAAAAGATCGAGTTAACTGCGTTATCACCGAATGTGTTTAAATTTGAAAAGCGAATTTAATTATACCAGAAACCTATAAAGATTTAAATCTCTATGATCCTTAACGTAAGATATTTTATCTTTGGAAACCCTTTGTTCTCATATCTGGGTCAACTATACCTGGAACGATGGAAGCACCCGTGTTATCGCGCGAGTCGTATAATCTTAAATTCAAATTCGGTTTTCCCTCGTTTTGGGCGCTTCGTTTGACGTGATCGTTGAAAGTGAATCATGCAAAATTGCCTTAAAGTGCCGTCTCTTCCTGCGGTAGAACGGGGTTAGGCAACATCAAGAGTCGTACGTTGAAGCAGTGGCGCGAGACGGCGAGACTCAGGTGGAAACCGGCGCACGCGAGCCAAGAAAAGGTGAATGTCTATGAAACTTATGTTGGACTTGGTGAGTGCTTCATCCCGGGCAATTATATCTCGGGAGATCCTCATAAATGAACGTAAGTTTCCAGAAATATTATGTTACGCCTTTGTGATTCATAATCGAAAGCATCGGCGCGTGAAGACCGTTTCGAGAAAAACAAGAATAAAATATTATATAATATTCGTCTTTGTAATTTCTGGTATAGTCTTATTACATTAATTAAGTAAAATTTTCTACGTCACGCAGAACTTGGGATATTTAAAAATAAATTAACATCTATGAAATTCTTACATTTCAAAATGGAAATATTTTTTTGTATTTTTTATAATTTAGGAAGCAAATCTTTTTTTATTTAATTAAATATAAAAATGTGAAAAATTAGACGCAGCTTGCTAATTTCTTTGTTTAAAAATAGTTTCTTTGTTTAAAAATAAATTAAAAAATGCTTGGCGGTAAACGTATTAGGAAAATAATATTTTATTTAGATGAAGAATATCGTTTTATACATCAGCTATATCTGTTAATACACATCGTATAGATCTTTTGTTTAGATTTAAAAAAAAAAGGGATCAGAGATGTGCTAAAAAGAGAAGCTATGTTAACTAAGAATCACTTTTAATGTCGATTAAATGAAAGATTTATCTAAATAATCACCGTGGACCTAGTGGAAGAGAAACAGGGAGGTGTGTAACTATGTGATGATCGTCAAGACTAAATGTCGTAAATTCGCTTATGAGTTTACCGATGGCGAACCTATGCGAGGAGCACTTTTACCTTTCATGCGTATGTGCGCGCGTGCAGCGACGTCGTCGTGTTCACACCCCGTAGTTCCTCCCTCTGGCATCCTCATTTCCGGTCGATGGAAAGCGGTTTTCGAGAAACTTTACGTAATCTCCGTCTCAATTGTGTACCCCCCTTCTCGCAAGATCAGATTTTTTGCGTTGTCTAAAGTTGCGCGGTAGTAAGAAGCAGCTTATCGTGTAATCTTTATAATGTCTCGAACTTAATGATAATGTCTCAAACTTAAAAATATCTTAAAATATAAGAATCATGACATTTTAAAATCAATTACGAAGAAGAAAACTATATTCCCCGTCATATAATTATTTATTACTATTTTTCAATTTATAACTATTTATAACTATTTTTCATTATTATTTTTGCTTAACTAATAATAAGATTTGTTTAATAAATTGAAAAACAGTATACTAATAGGTATGGAACTCATTTCCAAAGAAATGTATATATTTTGGCAGGTAGTATAACTTTTCACTAAAATTTAAAAATTAGAGTAGAATTAAAAATGTAGAATTAAAAATAAATTATGAATTACAAATAAAAAATTATTCATCAAATCAAGAAATGGAAAATTCTCGTACAATTTGCTTCGTTATCATTTTAACTTATTTACAATGTTTTAATTCCTCAATATGTAGCTCTTCATTTCGGAACAAAAGAGTAAAATCATTTTGATGTATTATATAAATTTTTATAATCGATATTATATGTTCCTTGATTTTTAACATCAACAGTCGTCGTCGTTTTTCGAAAAATCAGAGTATTAACAGCATTATTCAATTATTATCACGCATGATTTTCCACACGAGCCTGTTATCAGTGCTGATCGACAATCCCACGTGATTAATGTGTTGGTAATCAATTGTACTCCTAGATTGACGCGCATAAATCAAGTGGTATGGAGGGAAAATTTAGTCGCGTGCACATAAATGCATACAACCTGCTATATCGATTTATAAAATAGATATATCGTTGTAGTCATCGCTAAAGAATAAATAATAAAAAAATAATTTAAAAATAATTTAAAAATAATTTTTAAAAATTTTGGAATTTTCCAAAAGTTCGATTATATTTTTTAATTATAAAACACTTGAAGAGATAAAAAGCACGATCTACCAAAGTTCTTTAATTAAAGTCTATTTAAATAGGAAACAAGTGATATAACATAGATAAAAAGATTTTAGAGATAATTGTTACGCATGTCTGATAAAAATCAATCTCTTCTGATAGTGAAGAATAAACAAGTGAGATCTTTTCTGTTTAAAAGGGGATTATTAATCTAATCCACTTTTGTTATAAACAGCACAGATAGATGAATAAGTAAATTATGAAATTATATACATACTTGATCAGTCGGCAGATGTCAACCGGAATTATCTCGATCTTATTGTCCGAGAGATTAAGGTAGGTCAGCGCTGGCAGCTCCAGCAATTCCCTCGGGATTCTGTGGAGATTGTTGTTCTCCAGATGGACGGCATGAAGTTTGGGAAACCTACATACGGAAAGGAATGAAGAGTTACGTACGAATTAACTACCAATTAAAGTTTGCAGTTTCGCCGCGTTCGTGCGGACACTCACACGCTTTTCTTTGCTCTTATCGACGAAGGGGTTAATCTATCCGTGTTCTAATTACTTGATATTTCGCAAGAATTAATTTAATTTCTCTTTTTCTTCTTTTTTATCGGCTGTTTTTCTCGTTAATTTCATTGAAATTGAAAGTTACTGCTCAGCTTTTTTTTTTATCGCACAATAATCAGAGAAAATCAAAAGTGATGGAAAATAAATGGAAGAAAGTTTTTATATTATTCCATATTAGAGCGATTTAATGTAGATGCAAAAGAAAGTATACCTGTGTAGAAGCTTCAGATTGTTATCAACGTTAGTGAACTGGTTGCGTCCTAATGCGAGCTCCTCTATTGCTGGAAAAGCAATCGTGCTGTCGGGAACCCTTGAAAGGCCTGCCTTGTTCAAGTCCAATTTTTTGGGGCATGTCGACGACTGCGTAGCCTGTAAAAATACAAAAGAGAATGTGATATGTTAATATTATAAATGTAATGGACACAAATAATAAAAGAAAAATAAAATAAATAATATTATAAAAACACACGTTAATATCAATAAATAAAAGTATCTGAAAATACCTTTCCGGTTTTTATTAAGAGAAATCCTTGATTAAGAAATATGTAAGCTCTAACTATTAAGACAATTTTATTACATCATAAGATTTCATTTCGCAAGCAAGCCAAATTTATTTGGCAAGTAGAGAAAGTGTGATCGCTGTCACCTAATCAGCAAACAATGTTTTAAAAATTTTTAATATTTAATCAAAAATGTATTTTTATATTAAAAATATATTTTAAAAACATTGTCTGCTAATTGGACAGACAGATTATTATTATAATAGATTATTATTTCACAGCTAAATTATTATTGCAGTTTTCATAATCCATAAAATTATATATGCCATGTTTACCTCGAACTCCAAGGAGTCCGTATCTATGGTGTCGTCTTTGTCAAAGTCACGCTCCTCCATGATAGCAATCAAGTCTCCGACATGCACCATCTTTCGAACCGTCGCATATTCTTGCGCGAATACGCAAGTTCGCATCAAGCGAGCGCGCGCGCAATGTAATTAAATTCACGGTTCACTTTGATATAATCATCACTTGTGTATAAACCACATAATTTACTTTGTAGTAGCACGTCTAAAAGTTTATTCACAAGAGTGCTGTAATTTCGCTAACATTGTAATATTTAATTTTATATTACTGTATTTTATCTAACGCCGATCCTTTAAAATTGTAAAAATTAATTATTTTAATTAATGTTGATTGCAGTGAGTGACGTTCCCTTGTGATTCTTCATACACTACGGAGCAATATTTCGTTCAGATCAAACGATTCGTTATTGTAGCAACAGACAAGAGAGAGAAAGACAGAGATAGAGATATCGCTTAATAATAAAATCAATAATAATTCAACAATATCCGTATGCAGCGCGATTATTAATCAGACATAGAGAGTACTCGTCGGAGCAAGCGTTCGAACGAAACAAGCGAACGAATTTTAACGTTGTAATTTCGTCACGTCGTTTCGATTTGTTCTTCCGAAGGTTGTGCATTCGAAATTACAAAACGCCCAATTGACATGGCGCAATTATTGGATAGCGTACAAATACGAACAGCTCGCAAATCTAGAAATAGAGTGACGTATGATGTGCGTAATAAAATGAAACAATTTCACGAATTTCACGTGAAGTCATACATTTTTGTGTGTGTATGTATAAAAGAGAGATATATATTTTATAATGTTTTATTAAATGTTTGTGTGTGTGAATAGTCTTAGCTATAAGTATAAAAGCGTTCTCACAAATTGATTTAATAATGTTCTATATTTAACAAAAAATAAATTAAAAACAGTTTTATTAAAAAATAATCTTTATTTTTAAACAATTTTGACGTTTTTGACTTTTATTACTGCCTTTTCCAAAAAGTGCAATAAATTAAGGGTGCATTATACTTATGTGTGGTCAAGATTACATATTATATCTATACAATGATGTAATTTTACATCATTCGTACAGAATAAATTAAAAATTTATTTTAAATTAATGATATAATCGATTTTTTAAAATAAAATTCAAATACAATTCAATAAAAAACTAGATTAAATTAATTTAATTGAAATTAATTTAATTAAATAAAATTAATTCTTAATAGCTTTTGAAAATTTAAATATAAATAAAATGATAACAAATAATATAATAAAATAAAATTTATTTTCAAATAACTTTTAATACTATATCAAATAATTTAATTGTGTGACCTCTATTTGCTCTTTTAATATACGTCAGAAATAATTCATTTTGCATTTACAATTCGCATTTTATACGTTTTCTATGACTTGATTTGGACTTTATCGTTAAGTAAAGATTATAATGCATTCAGCCTTGCTGAACTTCATTGTAAGAAACTAACGTAAAGTAGCGGCGATGCACGAGCAATATTTGTGCCGACAAGTATTGTTCTGCTCGTTGCCTCGGCTACGAATAGCCTCTCATTGTCCGCAGCGGATTTTCAACCGAACAATGAAGACGTCAGTCATAGCTTTCTTATCGGCATTAGATTCGTCAGCGATCGCGCCCGAACCTCCCTAAAACAATACGACGGAAAAATCGTTACCGGTCATTAGAAAGCAGAACGTCGCGCATCAGATCGAATCATAATCAAAAAGAAGGAAAGAAAAACTTCATATTATGTATTTAGTATTATTGTACTTAGTAAAGAAATTAAGCTTAAAAAAATTTTTGATTTATAGGAATATTATTTTATAGGAATATTATTTAAAGGCAGAAATTTCCTCAAATCAGATTAATTTTAAATGTATCCAATCGAATTCTAAAATCGTTCTAGAAAATGTGATAATCAAAAAGATGCCCCAATTTTTTTTCAAGATTTGTTTTGACGTTTTAAAAACTTTTATCGCCGCTTGTTATTTTTGTGGAAAGAATGGATTTCATCGAAAAATTTTATCTTATATTTTACATTTTTTTTTTCATAAAAATTAATGTTATCTTCTTTTAAACTAACGATTTTAGTCATTCTAATCTAGGAGCTGTGCTTGCTTATTATACATAATAATTATCGTCCTCGATTTATGGTAGACGTTTGAAGCTTAACAGTTTCATAAAACTATGAATTCACAGAATAAAATTTCTTGTCGTATTATGATAAACTGTATAAAATATAAATTTAACGCAGTTTATCATAATAATCGAGAATCTTTTTTTCGGGACGCCATTAGAGGAAGTGCCACCGTTGATGAAAAAGAAAATGGGATTACGAGGAAAAGAGAACGATACCGTGTCGCGGGAAAGAGCTCGAGTCGCATGAGCGAGCATGATCGTCACATGATGATTAATTTCCGGTCTAGCGGCATCAAATCCGAGAGAAAGTGATTTACGTTTTAGACGTGTATGTATTAAGTACAGTCTTATGTAATCGAACGTTCGACGAATTTAGAAGCGATTCGTTTTCACAGGAATCCTCAGGACATTCATAATCAGGGTTTAAAGTGATCAGATTCGTTCAAGCGATACGTTTCTGACGCTTCTTTCGGTAGCACCCCCATGGTAGTATCCCAGATTTAACTCTATTCTTCCATCGCTGCATCGTCTCAATTCTACCAATTTCCTGACGATAATTTCCCATCGGAATCCCGCGATCGATTGATTCTACTTTCCGATCGCAACTTTGAGTTCATTGATCGTCCTCGAGTTTCCATTTGATCTGGGAATATAGGATGAGGGGAAAGAAGAAGAAAAAGCTGCGAAGGATATAAAAAATGGACATAACGAGAGAAAAAGGAGATGAAAAAAGTCGCGCGTAACCGGCCGGTTGACACACGTCACCGATGGGTTGGAAATGAGAAAGAAATAAGATGAAACGATGTTTCTAACGGACGCGTTTAGCTCACCGTGAACAGACGAGATAGAAAGAAGCAAAGGAGAGAACACCAAGAAGAAAGGAAAAAATAAACTCCGTGTCCCGACTGTCTGCACTCGTCGACGTTGGCTAACGAGGGAAATAACTTTTCTGAGAAAGTCCGGACTTTCGATACTCTGATGAATCAAGTTAGCTGCTAATCTGCCGTGTGATAATCCAGGACTAAGGTGGAGGAGACGTGTGTGTGTGTGTGTGTGTGTGTGTGTGTGTGTGTGTGTGTGTGTGTGTGTGTGTGTGTGTGTGTGTGTGTGTGTGTGTGTGTGTGTGTGTGTGTGTGTGTGTGTGTGTGTGTGTGTGTGAGAGAGAGAGAGAGAGGAGGGGGAGGGGACTGTGGTCTCTTTTTGGCAAGAATCATTCTTTCAACTTTGAAAACTTTTCTCTCTTCTTTTCCTTTTTTCTTTTTCGATTTAAAAGTGCTGACAAATTGGAGTTAAGCCTTGCGAATTGTAACGAAGATAAATAATTTAGAGGATTTGTGTAGATCAGGGATGTATGCGAAATTAGAGGCATTATGGAAATGATGAGCTGTGAAATAGATTCAGCGCGATGTGTGTCGTGTGTGAGATGCACGAATTATTATGAGATATAATTAACGAGTACTGTTAGCGCATCGGACGTGAATTCGCTTAACATCGTATACCGTTCGGCACGTGCGAAGTAAATTCATCATGCGAATTATGTAAACCGTTAAACGAGTCTTTTGAAATGTTTGGAGAGAACAATCGTGGTAATTACGGAGAGCACAAGAGGCGAATTAAGGTTGAAAAGCAGTTGATTAGGAAAAGTTGATAATTAAGATTGTTGCCTTTAATAACATGGTACATTAATTCTCATAATAGATAATACAGAGTCAGCTTGAATTACAGTGTTTATTATAATTAGTTTTAAATGATATACCAACGCTATGAAACAAACATTCATTGAATGCTTCTAAATTATAAAATAAATTTATATACATAACATTTTATTATTTATTACACATATAAAAGAGTATTAATTTCTTTTATAAGAAAATATTTATTTATTACATAATAAATATACATTTATATAATTATATATAATAAAAATATACTATAATTATGTATGTATTTATTATATAATAAAAATATCAAAAATATTGTTTACGGAAACACAAACAAATATGATAAATGACAATTTTGCGTTTCGCGGGTTTTCTCCGTGTTTAGATCCATTCTTGGAATGCCAACGTTTCGTGAATCTTGCAGTTCACTTCATCAGGGCGAGGAGCAGCCTGATACAGTATCAGACTCAAGAATATTAAATATGATAAATCTTTAATATATTATAATTTAACATAACGCGATTTTATATTGAGAGAACACAGAATATTTCATCAATTATTGAATTCACATATAATATGATAAAATTATTATATACATATGGAAAAGTTTTACGATTCCCTTGTTATTCACCAAATTTTATTCAACCACGATTCTTTTTTAATGTCCTAGGCTTGCGAAATTAATACTGGGATTGGGACAGC